CCCCACAGTAGAAATGGCAGGCGTTGATAAAGTTAATAGTATTGTTATTTAAAATTTTAAATTCATTTCTTAAAATTGAATATTATCTTTTTTATTAATGTAATTATTTAAGATAGAAGAAAATTAATTAATAATATTTGCGTATGCAAAATATTTACTGGTTTGAAAAATGGTTAATGAAAACTTTGTCAATATTGTTAATGTTGCGATAGTTAATGTTTAAGTTGTATTGAACAATTTTATTTTTAAAATAGAAAGCAATTGTAAATGTTAATAAGAATATTATGATGTTGGTTAATAATTAATATTGTAAAATTTGTGAAAATACATCAATTAACTATACATCTTGTGATAACTATTAATTTAGAGAATTAAATGAAATTATAAAAATTTGTGATTGTTAAATTGGTTATCTTGAAATGAATGGAGTGTTTTAACAATGTCATCAAATATATAAGAATTGTTCATAATCTTTAAATAATTGTACTTCTTGCGTTTTCATTTCGATATTTGAAAAATAATGAATGCAAAATCTTTGAAAAAAGTTGTTTGACTTAAGACATCCTTTAGAAAATAATTTAGGATATGGCAAAACCATCTTTTAATCTGAAGCTTGTATTATTAATCTGATTTAATTAAATTTAATATAAAGGGCGGAAATATTGTTAAATTTAATTATAATCATAAAATATAGAATTAGAATTCTTATTTATTTATTGTTTTATTGAATTTTGAACCTAGCTTAAAGCAATAAATACTATTGCTTATCAAATTTGAGATTTATTTATAATTGTTAAATTCTTTTATATATTATATTAGAATTATTAAAAATTGATGTAGATGATGAAAACTGGGATGAATGGATTTGACTAAAACAAAGCTAAACCTTAGAATCAAAATTAATTAATTGACATCTGAGCGTCAAAAGAAATTTAAAAAGTGATTGAAGAAGCCGTCTAAAATCTTTAAAATAATTAAAGAAAAAAATGATAAGTTATTTTCTAACATTATCATTGCATTCCGAATAATATAATTTTAGCATTTTATCACACTAGCTACAAATAATAATCTTTAAAGAAATGTAGAATTTAGGCAACTAATGAAAAAAAATATTATATCCTCATTTTATTGGAAAAAAACATTTTTTGTATTTTATAATGATATTATGATTTAGATCATATTAAAACTCAAAGAAAATCATTTGGTTAAGAGAAAAAATGAGAAAATTGAATCAATTTATATTTATAATATAAAAAAACATTTCTAAGTTTTCATAAGTAAAATAATAATTGTTATGTTGATCAACTAGATATTTTACTAATTTTTATTTAATTTAAAAATAAGTTCATTTAAGTTTTTAGTAAAATCAAATGATGCCATTACAATTCTTGATTTTCTCATATTTAATTATAGGTTTATTTGGACGCGAAAAAAACTTAAATTATTTTATTAATAATATGAAAAGATTTAAAAGAAGAAACTTTTAATATAATCATCCTTTTAATAATTTGTTTTATTTATGAAAATTTAAAAATTTGGGAAAGAACTTATATTTACTTCAAATATAAAATGGCAATTAAATCTGAAATCAATAAGAAAATAAAGAAAGTGCAAGAAATTGGTTTCTTCCCTTTTTGCATTTGAAATACTATACTTTAAATTTTTAATAGAAGATCAAAATTAGAAACAACACAATTTTTTAAATTAGGATTACAAATTGTTTTCATATTTTGGTTTTATATCTATTTTTTTACCAGTTATAAATAATAGAAAGAAATTTTATCATCAAATTGATGGCAGCTAATTTTTCACAAGTATAAAAAATTCAATTTAACAAAATAATGAAGAAATTTACATTATAAGCTCTAGTATTCATCTGTAAATCAAATCAATATTAATTTTGCAATAATGTTTTTCCCTTCGAAATAATATAACTTTAATTTTATTTAAGATATAGAATGAAATAGACATACTATAATTGTAGATGGCGTATAGAAATAAGATTAGAATAATTAGACATTTTAAAATTATTAATTAAGTGAATTTAAAATTATATAGAGATTACATCAATGCAAAATGAGAAAAGTTTTTTAAACGAATAGCAGTGGTAATGGATAATAAAAAAATAAATTAAAAAGGAAAATCAAAAGCTTAATTGACTGAGATGATTGATAGTACATAGACATAATTAGAAATATAATTTATTGAATTTGGTGATGACAATTAATGTTAAGAGTATCCTATTAGAAACTTTGAATACTGTGAATGAAGGGTATGTATCAATTGGATGCTAAAATGATCCACTGGATTATTATCTATTCAATTTAATCGCAAGTAAACTACTTTGGTATACTCTTTAAAACGAATTAAAATTATCCAAAGGTTTTAAATTAATGCTATATTTTCCATTCCATTCAATCTAATGTATTAATTTCATCAAATTTTAAGATTAAATATGTATTAATCCAAACAAAATCATAATGGGACTGACTTATAAAGAATTAAGAAAAAGGTTTTTCCATTATAATCAAGGTGAATTAAGATAAAAATAGAATACATTTTTAATAATGTATAAAAATTAGAAATTAATCTTGATAATCTTTCGGTTATGAAGAATTAAGTATTTTGTTAATGATATTTAGAATTTGGAATTATTCCAATAAATCAATTTATGTTTTGCATAATAATTGTAAAAATATATATTAGTTACTGGATAAATGAGTGATATTAGTATATTATTATTTTGCTGAATTTTATTGAAATAATCTTGATATTAATATCATATATTTATTTATTTGGATTATAACGATCTGTTATAAATATGATGACATTAAATCATTAGAATAAAAATATAATTGACTTTCATATATGTACTCAATTTAACTTATCTAATATATAAAAATTCTTAAAATAAATATAAATTAGAAGGTAAAATATTCTATACTTTTTAATGATTATTACTCCTTATAACCAATAAACCCTCAAAATCACTTAAAATCTAATCATGGCAATAATTAAGGCCTAATAGATTTTATTGAAAATGATATGAAGTAATATTTAAAATAAATTCTCATCTTTAAAATGAATCATATTAGAATGATCAAATCACTATTTATTCACCTAGAGACATAAAAAATGGTAGATTAGGTACACTTTATAAGGTTATATGGCAAATGACTCAGAAATTTTCATATATAAGCAGGACTTGAAGTACAAAATTTATTATGAAAAGATTGATTTTGTAGGCCACATATCATAGGTTGAATATGAAGGAGAATTTAGAATGAGAAAGTATCATCTTAAATATACAATTGGAAAAATGTGAATGGCACATTGCACTTTAATGAATAAACATTTTTTTGGGAATATTTTTAAAATGATTCAATTTGTAATTTGTCGAATAGAATGGTTTAAAAATTTTTTAACAGACTATAAAGAGTAAATGAATCAATTAATTATATAAATATTCATTTATTTTATTGTCTCAATTTAATTTTTAAATTTGCAACATTTGGAGGGATTTTTTACACTTTTTAAGTCAAAATGAAAATACTAAGGAGAATATTTAATTAATGTAATGGATAGCAAAGCAGTTTTATGGGTTTGCTCCTTTTAAAAAGTGGCAAAAGGTTGATGATCTACCTCCAATTGTTGATGAAATTGATTTTCTTAACATACAAAATATTAATCAAGGGAATTAAATTTAATAGGGAGATGAAAATATTTTAATATTTCTTGACCTGAAGCGATTGGGAGTCTAAGAATTATTAGCTGAGATCATAGACATATCATAAATCATTAAGGAATTCATTATAAAAATATGTTAAAAATATTTAACATCAATAGATACTAATAAAGTGTAAATGAGAATTAATGGATTGTTAATGGACAAAAAATTCATATTTAAACATTATGCTATTAAAAGCAATTAGGTCTTGGAATTCATATAATTTAATTATGGAGATCCTTACCAATAGATGGAGATTTATATAAAAACAACTAATGGAAAAAATATAACCTTAGAAGTAGACAGTTTGATGACGATTTTAAATTTGAAGGAAAAAATACAAGAAAAAGAAGGAATATCTTCAAATAGTTCAAGATTAATCTTTCAAGGACACTCATTAGATGATGAAAAACGGCTATGGGAATATAACATATAAACAAATTCTACTTTGCATTAAGTTTTAAGATTACGTGGGGGTTGTTTTCCTGAATATGCTCCAATTAAACTTTTCAATGGAACAACTAAAATAATCAAACAGATTGAATTGGGTGATATTGCTTTATGTTATGACTTTGAATAATAATAATTCAAATAATCGATTGTGGTGTTTAAGAAAATATCAAGTGAAAAACAATAATTAATCTTGTTTCACTTTTTTTGTAAAAAAAAGGTTTTGTTGCTATCGCATAAGCTATGAGATTTTTATAATATATTTTAGGTTTATCTTTTTAGTAGGATTCCATTTTCGAGATATATAAAATTAATTTATCGATCTAAAGGCTCAGATTTATTATTACTACTAAATCGAATATTTTGTATTTCAGAAGAATTGTAATATTTCAAAGCATCCTCAATTCTTAATTAATGAAACTGTTAAGTTGATAATTGATAATATTAGAAGGATCAATTTTTAATATTAAGTTTCATTCATATATTTAATTTATGATAGATTTAATAATATCAAAAGGATTATAATTTTCAAATAATGATAAACATGGCAATTGTTAAGTAAGTGAAGGTGGAAAAGTTATTTAGGAGGATGCTAAAGGCTACAAGGGTTATTGTCCTTGCAATATAATGACACTCTATATTAAGGATCGATCTGAAAGGCTTTATCTGCCCATATAATTGCTTCTTTATATTAACCAAGCCTTATTAAACTATGTGCTAAAACAAACAGTAAGAAGTTTTACATTTGCAGTACAAAGTTTCTACATGTCTAGGATCGATTTCCAAGGCTAAAACTGCCCATATAATCGCTTCCTAATATTAATCAAGTATTCTTAAACTATTCTCTAATGCATAAAAGTGAAGCTATACCTTTACAATACAATGCTGATTAATTTTTAGAATTCAAGAATTAACCCTTAATCAAACATTTTGATTGCTTCCAAACAATTCTTATCATTCAAATATAATTTATAACCTAAATTTTAATTATTTTTACCCATTTGATAAATTTCTTAAGATTTCTGGATATCACTGATGGATATTTGATCATAGTCTAATTAATATAAGTTTTGTAATTAATCTAGGAAATTGTGTGAAGATTATATGATTAGTGTTTCAATTTTAGATTCAAAAGGTATTGAAAAGGATAGTTTATTATTCTTTAGATCTTTGATATTTATTTCTTATCCATCGTATTAATTAATTAATTTATTGATAAATTGAATCCATGATTTATTTCAATCTATTCACAAAATGATCACATTCTTAATCAAAACTTTCAATATGTTCAAATAACATTGTAAATCATATTAATATTAAGGATGAGAACAATAAATTCCATCCTAATGCATTACTAACAGTATAATCTTTTTGTAATGCATGATTCGTCTATGCAAATTGATTTTACTTTATTATCCTCTCGATTTGGACAATTTTACGATCAAATATTGTGGCATAAATTTTTACCTAAATTATATCCATTACTATTAAAATAAAGTCATTATATTTAGATAATATTTTTATTTTTTAACTATCATTCTCATTCTCATTCTTTTATTTATTTTAACTTTCACTATTTAAAATAGTACTTATAAGCTCAAACTCTTCATTGCAATATTATAGTTATTTTTAAATAAGATTATTTATTAGACATTTATAAAAATTATAAGATCTTTTTAATGTGTTTACTAAACCTAAATACATACTGCAATAATTTCTTAAATTTTTTCCAATTTCATTCATTAAAACAATTAGATAAAAGTTGTTTGAAATTCTTGTAAAGAAATACACAACTAAATCTTCTTCATAGATTTTAACATCTTTGTATAATTTATTATTTTCTGGCTCTATCTTTGATCTTAAGATAATCTTCTTTTTAACTAAATAAATTTGGTAATTCACCAACAGTTAATAAATTATAAATATCTTTATAAAACATTCATTAGTAATTTAATTGTCACTAAATATGTAAATTCCAGAAACATCTTTAAATCCAGCTTCTTCAAATCATTTTTAATATCTTCTCTAAATTCTTTCACATCCAAATATATTACCCCCTTGATATTACTAACAGATCATCTTATTGGTTAAAAATATTTCAAGCATTTTCTATATGAAAAAAAGCATGTTTTAGATTTATGACTAAACTAAAAAAAACAAAAAAAAATTATTGAATTAAAATCAACTCAGGGTTCTTATTACATCATCATTAGTGTACCATTGTGTCTAAGGAAAAATTTGGTTCGACCAGTAGGGGAAGTAGGGAAGAAAGGGTGACTTAAACCCTAGATCCAAAGAATAATGGTTAATATCATCTAAAATGAAAAGCTAATTATTAGAGAGAACAAAAAGGATTAGGATATACATTGACAATGTAAAATATATGTTGAAAGCTGTTAACAATAGCTACTGAAATATTGATGTAAATCTTGTTGAATAGAAAAAATTTCATATCACAGGATAGAAAAAATAGGGATTAATTTAAAAAAGCTAAATAAGGTTAAGTCAAAAATGGCTGTACCAAAGTTGAGAATATTAAAAAAGAGATGTGATTCTGTAATAAATCATTATTTAAAGACCCATGCCTGAGCTACGAATTACATTTGAGATTAATTAATAACATAGAATTCTTAATAAGAACAATTTAGTTTAACTAAGGTTTGTATTAGTAAAACTACTCTTTGAATATCTATCATAGATATTTCGAATCCAACAAAAGAATATAAAAAGAATTAGGAAGGTACCAATTTATGATTCTTTAATAATGAAGATTATTCCAATAGAATGGGTAAGGTTCATAAAAATAATTTTATATCAGGGTTATTGAATTAAATAAATAAGTAGGTAAATCAAATTTTAAATATTATTTAGTTCAAATGCAATTATTAAAAGCCAAATTTGGATATTTGTTCTAGATTAAGTCTTTTTTTGTAATCTTTCTAGATGAGAACTTAATATCTTGATTATATAAGAGTTAAATATATTATTAATTGTTACTAATATAAATAAAAAATTATTAATTTATGATCCTATAAAATACATTTTAATCATAATTTGAAAAGAAACAAAAAGAGAAAAAGTATGCATTACAATCGATTAGAATAATGATAAGAATATTGTTATAAATTCTTCAAGCAGGAAATTTTTAATCAAGTCTTGTAAAATAAATATTTGCAACAAAATATTCATAAAAAATAGAAATATATTCAAATGGGAAATTCATCATGGAAGGCATAAAGTTAGTTGTTAAAATATTAATTGAAAAAAGGGGTGGAGATATAAAAAAAATTTTTAATTATTGAACACAGCATTTATAAAAAAAAAATAGAGAAGTTAATTTGAGTTTATAAATTTAGCCAATAGTTTTATTATGCTAAAGAAGAAAAACAGGAAAGTAGATTGGTTTCATCAAAGAGAAAATTTTGGAGGCAATGATTCTGTGTGTATATATTGTGTAAATTAATCCTCACTAAATTTCATTATTTAATTTAATGTTTAAACCAAAAATGATAGAAAATGAAAAAGATTTTTGTTGCTTTTAAGGACATAAGCTACCAGTAGTCACTATTGTACTTGATCACAAATTACCAATGAATTAGAGACTCTTATGCACAGAATGTTTATAAAATACTGACATAGATGGCAAGGCGGTTGGATTAAGGAAAATTATTTCATTTATTGAAGAAGATTAAGTAAAGAAGGTGGAAAAGTTAGAGAACATCCTAGTTAACTAAATAAAATTAATCCAATCATTAAATAGTACTGTTGATCAACTGAAATCAAATGTAATACAACAATTAGACTAATTAGTTACTATACTGATTGGATGGATTCAGAATCTATAATAACAACGATCATAATATTCTTAATATAGTTTTTATGAGGAATTAGAAATGATGCTATTGAAGTAAAATTAAAATAAAAATGATTCCAAATAATAAATATTAATCCATGAAATTCAGAAAACGAATCTCTGTTGGACTTCAAAATTGTATCTTAAATTAGAAAAATTTAATTAATTTGTAGAATATAATAAATGTAAGGAACTGTTGTCGAATGTAGAATTAGATTCTTAGAAATTTACTCAAAACAAAGAATAAGAGTAAATTACAATATAATCAAAGAGTAATTAAATCAATATTCCATAATCCTAAAGTAT